GTTCAGGATAATAAATCATAAGGGTACTTCACAGGCTCACAAGACCAGCTTCCATGCCTAAAGACGTTTAGGATAATAAGTAATAAGGTTACTTCACAGGCTCACAATACCAGCTTCTGTGCCTAAAGATGTTCAGGATAATAAATAATAAGGGTACTTCACAGGCTCACAAGACCAGCTTCCATGCCTAAAGACGTTTAGGATAATAAGTAATAAGGTTACTTCAAAGGCTCACAATACCAGCTTCCGTGCCTGAAGACGTTCAGAATAATAGGTAATAAGGTTACTTCACAGGCTCACAAGACCAGCTTCTGTGCCTAAAGACGTTCAGGATAATAAGTAATAAAGTTACTTCACAGGCTCACAAGACCAGCTTCCGTGCCTGAAGACGTTCAGCATAATAGGTAATAAGGTTACTTCACAGGTTCACAATACCAGCTTCTGTGCCTAAAGACGTTCAGGATAATAAGTAATAAAGTTACTTCACAGGCTCACAAGACCAGCTTCCATGTCTGAAAACATTCAGGATACTACGACAGTCAGGAATGATACTTCCAAGGAATCAGGCAATAACTGAGGGTAGAATGTAAGCAATCAATACCCACAGTAGATGGAATGTGACATTTACTGGTGAGTTGTGGAGATAATTAAGAATGAGTTTCTGGCCATTTTTGTGACTTTCAACATTTGTAGAATATGGTGAACAGAATTAAAAGAATGAGGAAAAATTCTTACAGATTCTTGTACAAATATTTTAAGCATTAAACCTCTCATAATAGATGGGACAAAATTTCTTAACTTATATGTAGTTTTATTAATTTGCTCTATATCCATCAAATTTCAAATGATATATTAACTGATATCTTCTCAACATATGTGTGAATTTAGTCAAAGGAAAACATTTAGTTAAAACTTTACCACATCTGAAATGCTAAGTGATTGATACAATTTTTTAACCGAAGCCCCTAGAGAATGTATTACTTTGTGTTTAACATTCTATTTAACCAGTGTCTTTTAAAATCCATCAGTCAGCTATTATCTAGAAATACAGGCTTTGCATTACAAGACTGTTATTCTGTACATGTATGGCATACTTAACTATTTCTACAGAGGTCTTGGAAAAAGTACCACTAGTAACTTGTGTGTGACAAACTTATCAAATTAAAGGTTGAGTTTGATCCTGGAAATGTATTATGCTTATAGTAGATACAAGCATTTAGATAAGTGATTTCATTGTTAATATCATACATTTCCTTTATTTAGAGTTCTGTACCATCATTTTATTGCAGGGGTGACTCATTTGCCAATGTATTATCAAGGGTTTGTTGACTGAAAATTATTTATTTCAAAATTTATAAGAAGTGAGATTGATAATTTCACTATATGAGTTTCATATATTTTATATGGGGCTCCAAAGTGTGTACCATCTTTAACTGGTGTGTGTCATATGTACTAGTGTGTTATGAAAACCAGGGGCGAGAGTAGTCATTATAAATTGTTGAGTTCATCAGTTAAAAACATTGAAATAAATTATTTTGCTATACATATTGCAAAGAATTAAGTTAGCATTTTCTTACTTCAGATGAAAGTGTCTGTTGGTATATAGTTATTGTTCACTTATTACATTAATCTAGAAGCTTATAAATGAAAGTGAAGGAGAATGTTACAATTATACAAATATAACTTCTATTAATGATACTCATAAGTTTCCCACTTACATTTTCTGCAATTATCTTGTCTAAGCTTAAACTACAGTGTATAATGTAACTCAACATTTACATGATATTGGATGTACTAGGTGTTTATTGCTGGTTTGTGATGCAGAGTTATGTTAATTATTGTAAACACATGGCACCAATGTAATTTGAGTTGTGGTGCATAAATACTTAACTTCCAAGTTAAAAGGGAAGTTAAAAAGTTTTCTGTTAGTACTACTTACACAGCCATTAGCATGTAAGTTTAATTCTACTAGGGCCTGACTAGATTTCCCATTCAGCATGCGAATGTCACTTGTCCCGTGTTTGTGAACTTTCCTGTGTAATTCATCTTTATGCATTAATAATTTTTCTTCTACGTTCCGGCTTAATTAAACATCAAATTTGATTAATTAATTAGGCAAGCTGTTAACAATTAGTGTTAAATCAAATATTACAGAAAAAGTCTGATAAAGTGAGTAAACAATGCACCCTTTTTCACACAGTGTATCATGTACTTGTTTTAATATTTTTTGGTTTGGATATTTGTGCAAAGCTACACAAGGTCTATATACACTAGCCACCTCTAATTTTGAAATGTGCAAAGCAGAGATTGCCTATAGTGTAGTTTTGGACAGAAATGTTTTTCATTTAGAACTCACATGCTATTAATCACTACTCTCATCTTAAAAAGAAGATATCAATAAAGGTTTAAAATACTTAATTTTCTGAGAGAATCTGTGACTCCACAACTTCTGGTCCTATGAAAGGTTTGGGGAAAATTTCTAGCTTTAATTTGTATGATATTCAAGATAAAAAAAATTAAAAAAACTTACCAACACCAAAGTCTCCTATGACAAGAACCTTGAAAAGTAACTCCTCAGCCTCATTATTAGTAACAGAGTTCTCCATGTTATTATTTTCACTTTGAATTGGTACTATTGCAGTCTGAAGTCATGTGTAAGTTTCATACACTTATGTAAATCTATTAGGAAGAGAGTAATGAATAAATCAACTGCTGTAAAAAAACAAAAAAAAACATTTTGTCAAGAAAAAATATACCTGCAATGAAATGAATAGATGAAAATAAATTAATACCATAGTGCTAACCCAAAATATGTACTAATTCATGACCAGCAATTACATGTACAACTACAGATGAGAGAGGCATGTGAAAGATGCAAGACTTTTTTTAAAATACTTTTTCTCAAGATACTAGAACAACAGTGAGCAAGTTTATTGTAAAAAGAATGAAAATGAAAATAAAAAAGGGACTGAACTGGCTTATTTTATTCACTCCCTTTATACTGTACATGTTTCATTTAGCAGTACAAAAGCCATAACTTTTAAAATAAGCAAAAATAAACTACCTAAAATTTGAAATTTTCTACAATTTATATAAGTACAAGTAATTTTTAAGCCTGTTTATCAGAGAAGTCTATTTGTCAAACACACTTTAATTCATCAACAAACCCAAACAGATTAGCCCTAATTTATCTCTACATAATCAATCTAAAAAAAAACCAACATTTTAATCAAATTCACTAGTTTAAACACAAAAAAGTTATGCTGAGCTCATTACAAAAGAAAGTTAGCCACCTTAAAGCAAAATGTCATTCAATACAATAACATCCATCATAAAATAAAAACTAAATGTAGCTTTTCATATACACCTAAGTATTATTTCATTGAATTGAAGGCCATGAATTTAACTTTTGCTTAAGTGCCATCAGAGTATTCTCATCAAAAGTTTGTGCCAAAAAAAACATTCACCCTCTCGACAAATTGTAAGTGTCCATTTATTGCTAAGTTTTCCCTTCTTACACATGAGCATTCTCAACAAATGACCAATATTATCCTAGCCAATGTCCAAGGATTTTTATAAATCAGGCAGATACTGCCACATCTAACAAAATCTACAGATTAGTAGGCTAGCTTAGATAAATCTAGACTTGGATTTAAGTATTTATGTGTAAATATCAAATTGGAGCTGCGCATGGACTAATTAATCAATTACCTATGAGCACTGATTACATCAATTAGCGTGTTTCAAGTATAATAATAAATTAATAGGAATTATGATTAAATCAATTAATTTCACAAAATTAATCAACTAGTTTCTAATTATTCCAACTATCTAGTAAGCAAAATTACAATTAAATAAATTAGTATCACAAAATTAATTAACTAATTGATATTAGCCTTTCCAATTACTACTATTTTTGACTAGATGTACTTGCACAGGGTCAAGAGTAAATAAAACTAAAATTATGAGTACAAAATATTATTTCTTGCTTTTGAAGTTCAGATGTCATGCTGTACTGTAGCCTACAGAGTACATAATTCTTCTACAAATTACAATTTTAAGTGTCCCTTATGTGATGTCATTTTAGTGTCTACTTACTGACTGACAGACAACACACTACTGTGGTGTGATTGGTTAAAATAGGCGACACCTCTAGGCAGCCTTTGGTCCACTTTTCGGGGAAATAAATTAATATAATTTTGATAGTTGACTCTTCAGTTTTCAGTAGTTTAAACTAAAGGTACAACAACAATGCACAGTTGCCTACTGATGAACAAACTGATGTGAGTGGTTAATACAGGTGACCCCTCCAGGTGGTCTTAGGCCCCCTTTCAGAGAAATTACTTCAACTATCCTGTTATCAAAACTACAATTAAGTCAATTAACATCACATTAGTGTTCCTGATAACTCCAACTATCCAGTAACTGAAATAATACAATTATATTTGCTGTTATATAGAAGGAGCCATCTGTGCTCTGCCACTGCAGATATCAAAACCTGATTTTTAGCTTTACAAGTTATTTATTTGTGTTATTTTAACTATATTATGTGAGAATAATAGATTACTTTTTTTTATTTTAGCCATCTTGTCAGCATGAAATTAGTGAAACTTATTTGATGTAGCAAATTCTCCAATCACCCAGCTCTGATATGAACAAACTAGTGGCAATAATACTAAGCAAAAAGCATTATATAGGTCAGATCTCCAACTTTCAAAACTATCAATATGACTGGTATTAGAACATCTGCATTGCTTTATTGTTAACTGATGTTAATCTAGATTTAAACCTAGATAACATAAGTATAAAATTTAAGGTCAATTTAGTCAGGCTCATCAACTAAATTAAATGTTAAAATAAAACACCCTCATCATTCAAATATTTATCAAGCCTTTGTTTGAAATCCCTTAAATTTATTGCCTCCACCACATCTGTAAGCAATCAATTCCAAAACCCAACCACCCTCTTAAAAACAAATGTCTTAGCTGAAGATGACTCCTACCCTCCAAACATTTATATTTGTGTTCCTTAGTCCTACCATTCTCACCAAAAGTACAACAAAAGGTAATGCATCAACACTATCAATTCCCTTTATAATCTTAAGTAATTCAATACAATCTCCTCTAACTCTTCTTTTTTGTGAGAAAACATTTTCAGAGATCTAACAATTCTTTCTCAAATATATTTTCTTTTTTTCCTTCTGTGATCTCATAACATAACAATGTTTAGGGGCAACAACGGACCTACTGGTCCATCTCGGCTGTCTCATCCTATAAACTACTATGAATTTCAAAATATAACAATCTTAAAGCGAGCCCTTATCATTCATATAGTTACGAAGCTTTCCTAAGATTAGGAGCCAAAGACTGAACACAATACTCCAAATATGGCCTAACCAGTGACCTATACAATGAAATTATAACCTTTTCGGACTTGTATTTAATATTTCTGTAGATACAACCTAAAATACTATTTGCCTTGCTAATAGCAACAGCACAATGTATGGGTGATTTAAGAGACTGATCAACCATTATACCAAGATCCCTTTTTTTTATAACACTGTTAGGGTTATTCTCATCCAAATTATACATATAATTCAAGTTATGATAACCCACATGCATTATCTTGCATTTATTATAATTAAAAGCCATCTGACATTTATTTGCCCAACTCACTAAATGATCTAAATCCTTTTGTAAATCAGCAGCATCCTCTTTACAGCTAGCAACACCCAAGACCTTAATATCATCTGCAAATTTAAGTAATTTATTGACCATTCCTTCATCTATGCCACTGATATAAATAAAAAAGAGCAAAGGTCCTAAGACTGAGCCCTGAGGTACCCACTTGTGACATTAATCCAGTTTGACTGAGCCCAATTTGTAACAACCCTATACTTTCTTCCATCCAGCCACTCTTCTACCCAATTTGCTAACTTACCCCCAAACCTATAGAGATAAATATTTTACAAGCCTTTTATGTTGCACCTCGTCAAATGCTTTCTAAAAATCCAGATACACCAAATCTACACCCTTATCCTCATTTACATTAGCAGTAACCTTTTCAAAGAATGTCAAAATATTTGTAAGGCAAGATTTTCCTTTAGAGAAACCATGTTGACTATCCAATAAAATCCTTAAATGACTTTACAAAGCATTTTTTAATACTTTATAAAACTTTTCTCACAACTGATGTAAGACTAATGGGCCTATATTACAGGGACGATTTTTATTACCTTCCTTGAAAAGAGTGACATCGGCTCACTTCCAATCATTTGGCACCTGCCCACTATTCAAGGACTTATACAAAATACTAGCAAATGGCTTACATATACAATCCTTACCCTTCTTCAAAACCATTGGGGAAATATTATCTTGTCCAGGAAACTTGTCATTTTTGAAACTTCTTAATTTTTTCTTAACAAGCTCATAATTAAAGCAATCATATTGTCTAACCTTGATTCCATCTATCAACTGTCAAAGATGAGAAATACTGCTTAAATAAAACTCTCTGGTGACAGCTCTAAGAATAAACTTAATCAGTTCATTTTCATTATTTATCGACCTCATATATATAAAACGCTAGAAATACCATATGCATGACGGTATATTTTCTCTTGCAGCAATAATAAATCTTTATTTCCAATAAATTACATTGAAATAATATGCTAACCTTGAAATAACTTTGTGGATTATTAGTTAATAACTGTGAAGCAATTTATTAGTTTCAAAAAACTTCTTCTCAACTGATAAAAAGTTCATAATTTTCTTATCTTGAATCAAATTATGTTACAACTATTAACAAAATAGTTGCCTCATGCAATTTATATGTCAATACATAATATATTAATATAAATAAGCAGTTCCTTTAAAAGACAAATTAGAAATCACAGTACAATTAATTAAGTTTTAGTAAACTTAAACATTATTTCAACTGACATTGTGAAAAGCATATTTATTCCTGACAAATAACATAAATAAAGTTTGAAAATACAAGCAAAATGATTCATGAATAAGATTAAACAAACTAGGTTTCTGATTATAGTATTTCTTTATTGTTAACACAAATGAGGGTAGGTCTAACTATAAAAAAGGGCTAAATCCCATTCAAAATGAATATGAAATTCCTCAATGTTTTTATAATACATGTGGAAAGAAGTGGTTAGATAATGCAGCAGCAAACACACATTTCCCATATGCTATAGCTCCCATAGTCTGTGAATCTCCCCAAATCCATGAAGGCTCACACACATTTTCTAATGCCATTTATAAATTAATATCTACCAAGATAACACAAATAATTTCACTTTCCGAGTGTAGTACATGAGCTTCATGATCTATTTTTAGTTCTTTGTGGTAATGAGATATACCAAACAAATTATATTTTTGAACTTAATCTTGTTTATAAAATAAAACTGTTGTTTCTCTAATGGTCAAATTTAAATTTAAAAACATAAGCACTTACAAAATTACATTAGGTTTTTCCTAAATAAAACTACTTGAGGTAAGTAAATATTTAAGTCAAAAACCCAGTGTACACACATAAGGTATGAAGGTTAAATTTCCAGAAATGGTTAGGATGTTCCATAATAGTACAAGATTTTTTTTGTATGTGAAATTTCTTTAACGAAACTTATTCTAAAAATGCAGCTTAAATTTTCAGTACTTCAAAAAATTCTGCACATGTTATGAACTAGCATAAATCTATCAAATTAAAAGGAAAATTTCCAAGGCTATAAGTTATAACTTCAACTTGAATATCAGAATAAATGTGCAACTGCTAGTAAGCATAATAATATTTTTGTTGCATTCATATTTTGCAATAAATGTATTATTTATCTCAAACATGATAAATAAAATAGAATATTAACATGTATATGACAGTTAACAATAACAGAAAAAATCATCTAAATGCCTGCAATTTGAACACACACACACACACTCTCAGTAATTTAATAACTTGTATAAATAAACTTTTAGTTATAAGACAAAATGACTGGCCAAAAACAACGAAAGAACGCCAAATAAACCATTATTAAGAAACTACAAATATAACTGAATTATCATCTCTAAATTATAAATATAATCTAACTAAATTCTAAGAGAAAAGTTGTTTAAACTGATCAGATTGTACTTGCTCAGTTGCTGATTCCAACTAGTACTACTACTAGTAGTAGAACTAGAAGTAATAATAATAATAAATTATGAAGCCAATACTAGTAATATTGTGTTAATATCAACTCTGTTTCTGCAACAGCGTATAACCAAAATATACACATATTTACCAAAAAAGAATGCTCAAGCACTTTCCATTCTTACATTACTAAATGATTCATATCAAGGTAAACGCTTTATCTCACGGAAGTGCCAGGACTCTAGCTCTTGAAAACACATGTTTAATTGGATGTCCTAAACAGTGTAAAATATTACGATAACCATTTTGTGTCTACTTACAAAACGATCACAAATTTTTAGAGTTCCTTTATATTAATGTATATAGTTCTTGAGTTTGATATTATATTGCTTTGCAGCCTCATTTATTTCAAAAGTTATAGATATATATGTTTATTTATGCTCTCAATAATACCAATAAATATTAACACATTGCAGACGGGTCACATTGCAAAGCGTATTTGTGTGCCATTTATTAAAACGTTGCATTCGAAAGGAGTCGGACGCGTTTTATTTTGTTCCGAACGGTTATTATTTATTTTATTTTATTTTTCCTTACAATATTCAACGGCCCGGCATGGCTAGGTGGTTAGGGCGCTCGACTCACAATATGCGGGTCGCGGGTTAGAATCTCCGTCACCCTTTCAGCCATGGGGGCGTTATAATGTGATAGTCAATTCCACTATTCGTTGGTAAAAGAGTAGCCCAAGAGTTGGCGGTGATGACTAGCTGCCTTCCCTCTAGTCTTACACTGCTAAATGAGGGACTGCTAACGCAGATAGCCCTCGTGTAGCTTTGCGCGAAATACATAACAAACAAACGTAACAATACAATATCCATATTTTTATAAATGGCTTCTCCCAGAAAACGTAACGTGTTGAGTGAAGATGAAATAATTACTGAACTATTTGATGATAATTTGTCAGATATTCCAAGTAAAGGTGAAGGTTCTGTTGTGAATGTGTTTGTGGATCATTTTAACAGTGACTCTAGCTACAGTGACCTACATAGATACGTAAAGTTGCTGTGCTCTCAACTGATTCTGAATCAGAAAGTGATGATGATTCTACAAATGTTCCTGTTAGTGATTTATTTTCCCGTTGTGATAATTATATCTAGCCAGAAATAGATATTTCACCGAACTTGCAAATGTTTGAAGGAAATCCAGGGGTCACTATAACTCCATCCGAACTCGAAAGTATTGTTGCCGTGACAAGTCTAATGTTTGGTGATGACTTGTTTGAAATGTTTTGTCGGGAAATGTGTACCTACATTAATCAAACTACAGAGAAACATAAAATGTCATTTAAAGGATTTCAATGGTCTGAAATTACAGCTACAGACATAAGAAAATTCCCTAGGCCTTATTCTACTAATGGGACAGACAAGGAAATATAACTGGAAAGATTATTGATCAATAGATCCTCTTTTAATTAGTCCAATATTTTCGCAGACAATGAGCCGAAATAGATTTGAACAAATTTAGACATTTTACATATCAATGATATTCAAAAAATGGATGAGTCTTCAGGCAGGCTCTTCAAAATTCAACCAGTACTGGATTATTTCCTCAATATATTCTGGACACTATACAAACCAAAGCAAAAGTTGTCATTGGATGAGGGCATGATTCCATGGAGATGACGTCTACAACCCTGCAAAAATAGTAAAATATGGCCCGCTAGTGAGCATGATGTGTGAAAGTGACACAGGCTATATTTACAACATGGAGATTTATACTAGTGAGGGAAAAAATTTGGAAGAGACTATTCTTTCAGTTCTTGCTCCCAATCTTGGATTGTGGTACCACGTATACCAGGGCAATTATTACAACGGTACTTCCATTGCAAACCTGTTCCTAGAACTTAAAACAAGAGTCTGTGAAACAATCAGAATAAATAGAGGGTTGCCACCGAGCCTGAAGTTTCAGCAATAAAAAAGGATGAAACAGCTTTCCGTAGAAAAGGTGATGTTCTCCTTTTCATATGGAAAGACAAGAGAAAAGTGAGAATGGTTTCAACCATCCATGACTCGTCTGTTTCTACCACAGGAAAGAAAAATGGGATAACTGGAGAAGTAATAAAAAAATCTGTGTGTTATCCAATACAATGCTCACATGAAAGGTATTGATCGGGCAGATCAGTACCTCTCATACTACACCATTCTCAAAAAAACGGCGAAATGGACAAAAAAGGTAGTGCTTTATCTAATACATTGTGGCCCTTTCAATTCATATATAATATACAAAGCCCTGAATCAACAGAAAAAAATCAAATATAAACAGATCTTCCTCTCAAGAAGACTCACTGGAACTAGAGGGGAACGAATCCGGTCCCTCATCTGAAGGTACAAGGAGAGCCCCCACATAAGGATCCCCCAGGAAGAGTATTTGGTGACACGAAGCAGCATATTGCTGTGTTCATTTCATGTCCAAGAAAAAATAAATTTCCTACGAGAGCCTGCAAAGTTTGTACTACCCATTGGAAAAAGTGAAACGCGATACATATGAAAATTTTGTGCGGTTCCACTCCATATAGGAAAATGTTTTACAAGATACTACACTTTAAAAATTTACTAGGTGTCTTCATGTACATACTCCGTAAGTTTCAGATAAATAATAACAATATAGTTCGACTCCTTTCAAACTCAACCTTTTAATAAATGGCACACAAAGATGCTCTGCACGTAATACGAGTAAACTCGTAACCAGTCTGCAAGGTTTTAATAACTAGCTGGAATACCCGACCATAAAAACTGCAAATCACAAAACGTGATACCGCAAGTTTGCTTGTATCTCCGCGTGGACCCAACAAACCTTCATGCCAAATGTAGTGAAGATCCATCTAAAGAAGGTGAGGTAGTGGTAAAAAAACGCAAAAACGCCCATAAAAACCGCAAAACTGAAAATTTGTATGTACCCCGGTATGGATCTAATGAACCTCCATACCAATTGTGGTGAAGATCTATCCACAGCCTGCGAAGTAGTTACATGAACATACAACAGACAGTGCTATTATATTTATATACACGGGCATACAAGAAATGATAAGTCAGCTGTCGAATGTATGCCCAACTTGTAACTCCCTGCATTTATTCACGTTATCAGTAATATCACTTCAATGTCAACAGTGCATTTTAATTTCTTGTTTGACATATAAAAAATAATTTTGAAAATCGACTTAGAATGATCATAGAAGCTAAAGAAAACAATATTATCTTATTTATATACGGAATAATCTTTTAATGTTTTAAATGTTCTAATGTTTTAAATTGCTTAGGCTTGTTCACTTCATCTTGCAATCATTCACACCAACACTGTGAATGCAAAATTAACATGGCGAATTAACATATTATTATTAATAGTGATTACTTAACAAAACATACTCCCCTTGGGTAAATTGTTCAACAAAACAAGAACTTGACCTTGGCATTCAATGAATGTTGATGTTCAAACTACATTTGTCAGCCAGGCAGGCAACATTCACATATCCTTTGGTCATAGTGATGTAAAGTCAACGGTACAATTTGATCGTTTGTATCAAGTCTTGCTGTTCAAGAGTTTTGTCCATTCCGTGGATAATTTCATTCTTGCAAGCATTAAAGATACTTAGTAGTTCATACGAATTGTTGGGACCATTTGGTAGCTTATTAATCTCTTTATGTGACACATATTCCTGTGGTGTATATTTCCATCCAAAGTGTCTCAATTTTAGTGACAATAGACAATGGTACTACTATCTTGGAGATGTTGGCCCCAAAACGTTAGTAACTAAGGGTAACTAAGGGAAGTGTGGGTATTTTGCTTGGTCATATTGAGGCCAGTCTTTCTCACTGTGACTATTTTAGCCAGGTCCATGAGACTCAATCCCTCCATACAATGTGGCCGAGAAACTCCACTTCTGTGCAAATGATTGAGCCCTTTCCTGGCATTATTTTCAGCATTCTTTATCTATCTGCTGGTTACCATTCACAGTGTCTCAGCCACAGACTTGGACATAGGATCGAAAACAAAACATCGTCAATTTAGACTAATCATCTCACCCATTGCAGCCATTTCAGTGTATACTCTATTAGCCTCTTGAAAGTGGTGGATGTGTTACATCAGTAAATGGCATGACGCGAAATTCATATTAAATATCTTTTGAGCTATATTCAGTCCTAGCTCTGCTCTTGTCGTCCGGCTCGACTTGCAAGTATCCAATGTTGAACCAATGGAAGTATTCTAATACATCCAGAAATTCATCTGTTTGAAGTAAGGAAAGATATCAATACAAATTACTACATTCACCTATCTAAAATAAACACAGAATCTTGGCATACCTTATTTCTTCTGCTGGAGACGACCAAACGTATTCAAAGGCTTTATAACTCTTTCCTTCAACATCTGCTGTATTCAAATGCTGGCAATGTCGATATAGCTCAAGGGAAGCCAGAGTATCAGTTGATTTAACGAACGTTGAGCAACCCAATCAGGTATCTATTACCACAAATACAAAGCATATTCAACTAACAAGCTGCTGAGTTGCTTCTGCTGTATTGAGTCTAGGTTGTTTACACAATAATCAACCAATGATCTCAAATGTGTTGATAGCTGTATACTTACATTTGGCTATGGTGCAATGGATACAACCAAAAGAATTACCACTCATATTTGTTACGTATATTTTGCTTACCACACCAATAATCATTCCTGCATACAGTTAGATAGCCAATTGCCCATGATTACGAAATAACACTGGGGACTTCTTGTGATGGTCTCACTTGGAGGTTCTGATATATCATGAAATCTATTAGTGTACTGGCTGTTCTGTATTAACCAGGAACTCCAAATCATGCCTTTGTACCATCAAAGGTGTGTGCCAAACTCCACCCAGCCCTCAGAAAACTGAGTTGGCTACTAAACTCTTTCATACAAGCAGTCTAATTTGTTCCCCCAAACTAGTGACCAAACCCGACCATAGGCTCTGTCAGTTTTTCAGAGCATTTGCAACAGTATTCAACCTGTTAGTTGTTCTGGGCCTTCTTAACCATAGAACTGTACTGATATCCTTGCTTGGCAAAGTATGAAAGATGATGGTCGTCTGGCATTTGCTGACAAGTAAAGTATGGGCAGTTCATCTTCTATTGCCCCACTAGACCACAAGGAAAGCAGAAAATTTGTCTCTATCATATTGAAAAATTTCCAGAAGCATCA